TGATAGCCCAAGTGGCTCTGTGTCCTGCCCACCCCCACGCCACCCGCATTTGCTTTAGGAACCAGATCATCACAATGCGGCCTTGTGAATCAGTTTTCTCCATGTGCTGATGAAAGTGTAATTCATTCTTAATCAAGCAGCCTTGCTGCTGCAGGCTCTGTGCCCAAATACATTTAGTTCCCTCCAATCACTTTGGGAAACAGTCCCCCCAAAAGGACTTTTAGAAGAGGGCTGGGGGGAGAATTGGCAGTGCCCCCCTACCCCATGCTGTGTCTTTCCAGCAGGGGGCACTCTTGGGACCAATGCTGGAGGAGCCTTTGCAGCTGGGGGAGAGGGGGAGGAGGGGTAGACAGGCTGGGAGAGACTGATGAGCCTGCAGCTTGTCACAGGTGCCTTCCAGGCTTCTGTCTCTAGACCCTGGGCCATTTCTTAAGAGGGGGCAGGTGCCAGATTCTTGTATCTTGGGGGCTGCCTGAAAACCCCAGTGAGCAGGAAGCAGTAAATCTGCGTATTCCTGCGTGCCTGTGTTAAGGAGAACCTGCTGGGTTCCAGCTCCTTCCTAGGATTCAGAGGAGCCAGCCTCCTTCTTAAGGAGACAGATGTGTCTCCTGAAGTTGAACTTGTTTAGATTGGGTGGATGTGCCCTTTTGGTCACACCATGCAAAGTTTGGGTCAGTGCGAGGAGGTCTAGCTCTGTCAGGTGGCTCCCTCTCCTGCCCTTTCACAGACTGGGGGCTGCCCCAAACAAATGGCAGTTTGATGGAGAAATGAACGGGATGAGAGGTGGCTCTGCCAGACTGTTTGTCAATACTGGGCAGGAGGAAAGGGCCAGGCCCAGCAGGTGGATCAGAGCCCCCATAAGATAAAAACCAAGCCGTGTCTAGATCTGCGGCAGAGACAGAAAAAGAAGTTTGTCTCCTCAGAGTGGAATTGGATTAGTGACAGACTTGAACAGCCGGTTCAGTCAAGAGAGAACTTAATTCCTCCTGTATTATTCACGCGGCTTATTTTAATCAGATGTGAAGAGACAGCTGGAAGAGAAGCGGGGCAGCCCAGTGCCTGGTGAGGAAACTTCATGTTCTTTTAGTCATGTTAGGGAACTGGCAAGAGCACTGGTTGGAGGCTTTGTGCGGGGCCCCGTGTGGTTTATCGCTTCCCGACGGAGTGGGCATGACCACCAGGACTCCCGTGGTTCGCCCTTGTCTGGATTCAGTATGAGTTTTGGACATTACATGGCAGACACTGTCACTCACTTGTCCTTAGAAGGATTAAGGAAGGTGGACCAGATTCAACAGGTCCCAGAATGATGCAGCCGTTGCCCACGAGGCCCTGCTTCCCGAGGCTCTTCAGTTTCAGCACCTACTGAAATTCGGAGGAAACCTCTGCCTGGACAACCTTGGAGAATGGCCGTGGCAGTGTGCTTGTGGAGCCCACACCCCATGCACTTGGGGAAGTCCCCTCCTTCATGGAGGCGCTGCCCCCTCTTCAGCAGGTCTGGCTCAGGGGCGTGGAGGAGTGCTGTGGGTCACCGCAGGAAATGGGAGGCCGGGGGTGGGACTCACAAGACTGGCCTCAGTTCTCCCAGTGCGACACACAGCGGGTGAGGGCCCTCTTGGATCATCTACGGTACCTCTGTGTGCTGTGTGGAGAGAGCCAGGCCAGTTATTGAGCAAAAAGATGGACCAAACACGGATGTGGGCTGGTACACCTCATAGTGTGAGGGGTGGTGGGCAAACCAGAACACTTGTTAGCTAGTTTTCATGAGTATGCAAAGAAGGCCCCAGAAACCCTTTGTTTCATGAAGAGCTGGGTACCGTTTCTTCTGAGTCTTTCCCTTCTCTTTTATGAATACCTCCTGCCTGAAGCTGTACTGTAGATGTGACAGTCAGTGAGCTTTCTAGAAAGAGCAGGTGGGGAAGAATCCCACAGGTGAGGAGAGCTTGCCCAGCAGAGGTGGGAAGCCAGAGTCCAGCTGGCAGATTCTGTCAGCGGTGCCTGAGGGGAGGTGTCCTGGGCTCCCTTAGAAAACCTCCCTGCCCCTGGGCCTCTGCGGCCCCGCCTGGAGGAAAGAAACCCAGACTTCTCCTCGCTGACCCCCTCTCACCCCCTGCCTCCTTCACCTGCTCTCCGCCAGCCGTGCCCTCCTGTGTAAGACTCAGGGAGCACTGGCTGGCTCAGGAAGAGGACATTTTAATGTCTAAGATAAAGGCTGCTGCTGAGGTGGCAGCAGACACAGGCCGAGGTGGCGATGGGAAGGGTTCCAGCAGCAGTGGGCAGCTCGTGCAGCAATTTCCTGACAGTAGGACTCCTGATGGAATTGTACAGTAAGGGTGAGAGATGGGGGCGGTGGCAGCCGGGTCTGCTGTGGGCCAAGGCAGGTGGCTCCCAGCGCCCTCAGTGACAGCAGCCAGGTCTGGTGCCTCTGCCCAGTGGCTCGACCTGAACTTCTAACAGCCTAGTGCATTTTGGAAGACTGTGCACTCTCCTCTCTCCGAGGCCGTGTGTCTGTGCCGCTTTCCTACATCTCCATGGCCAGAGCACTTGACTTCGCTCTGTACTTTCCTTGGGCTGGGGTACAACTTCTGCTCTTACAAGATAAGGGGTGATGCTGAGCCACTGCTGTGCAGTGTGGAGTGGGGACCGGGGAAGTGTCCTGCCCACCCGAAGAGGGCTTTGCATCCCAACGAACACATGCTCAAGCAACTGGCATCTGGCGCTGCTAGAGCTGCCAGAACCCTCCCCTGGCACCTCGTGGGGACAGCCAGCACCCAACTAGAGTAGAGGATCCAGGAATTCTTGGAGCCAACATTGTACAAATGGGCAGGAGGCTTGCGGAGGCCCCCACAGCCTGGGCTCCCTGCCTGGGGAAGTGGCCAGGCCTCTTGGGGGCATCCACTTGCCCTGCCTCGGAGGCCACAAAGGCCAGCCCTGCCTTCTCCGGCACATTCTACCCTGTACTCTGCCCTGCCCACCCCCCACCTCCCAGAAGGAGAGGAGCCAGAGCTGGGGGAGGGGAAGATAACAGCTGCTGAGCTCTGTTGCCAGCCAGGCAGGGTGCTGAGCGTTTCACAGCGTTCCCCAGTTACTCCACAGGCCACCCTGTGAGGAAGGGGCTGCCACCACCTCTGCTTCACAGTGGGGAACTGAGGCCTGAGCCAGTAACCTGCTCAGGACTACCCAGCTGGTAGGTGGCCCAGATGGCTCTGGGTCAGGCAGTCTGGATGTGGCTGTGTGGAAGGTCTGGGGAAGAGCCCTGACCTCTGCAGGGCCCCTGTCCCCTGAGGAGCCGCCTGAGGTCTCCAGGAGTATGGGAGAGACCTGAGCAGAGATTTGGGGTTTTACACCTTTTGATTTAAACTCTCCCCCAAGAGGATTTTTGTCCCAGAGGTTCTCTGGTTCTTTCTTTCCCAGTTACCATCCTGGTTCCATTATCACAGAGCACATAACTCGTGGCCCTTCTCCTCGAGTTGCATTTAGGGAGAAACCCATCCAAACTCGGCTCCCTTCTAGAGGGAGTCCGGTTTCAGCAAAGGAATGAAAGCTCTCTCCATTCCCATCAGAGCTGGGCTTTCCAAAGCAGTTCTGAAATTGGTCCCACTGAAGAAAAGGGCTCAGATGCCCCCCCGCATTCAGCTTGTTAGTCGGGAACTTCAAGGCCAAAAGATTTGGCAGGATTTGAAGAGCCGCTTTCAAGCTGTCTCATTCTGAGCACACTGATGCCGTCTGTCTTTGATGGTGAAGCAGTTGATTTGGCGTCTTCCCCCCCACCCTTTGGAGAGACTCAGACGATACTGAGGACTCTTTGAATTCAGAGACCTCCAGAGGTCGAGGGAATGGGCCAGGCCATCTAACCTGCCCCCGGGGTTTAACTCCAGAGGAAAGAGGCTCAGAGAGGTCAAGGGTGTCCACTAAGGCCACACAGTGAGTGGTTACAAAGGGGAATTAGCAGCCAGGCCTTGTCAGCCCCATGTGGAGCTCTCACCTTTTCCTGTTATAATTTATCATTATAGCCTACATTTTACTCAACACGCATTGTTGGAGTTCCTACTAGGTGCCAAGCATTAATGTAATGTAAGTGGTTTGGGGAAATACAAAGGTGAGCAGCATGTACTCTGAGTCCTCCCTCCCTGCACCTCTCCTCTGAGGTCCCAGGGCTGGATGTGGGACACACAGTCTTGCCCAAGTTGATTTCAGGAGTAGAGCAGGGAGTGGGGTGCGGGGAGAATGCACGTGCCAGATGCTTCTGTTTGGGAAGATCCTGGGAAATGGTCTACAGTCAGGAATTGGGGTTCAGCGGTATAGGGGGTCACAAACTCTAGTCGTCGTCTGCCATGCCGAGAGCCCATCCCTGGGGCGGCTCTAACAGTTTCTGGGCAGAGCACCGCCCCTTGTGCCCTGTCTTTTCTGCCTGAACCAGTCCCACCTACAAAGCCCATTCCTCCCAGCTGGTGGATGGAAACCTCTCTCAGCTGCCAGGGCCTGGGCAAGTCTGCTTTGGGGCCACCTGGGAACCGGGAGTGGAAGGGACAAGCTCTTCCTCTTCTGATGCAGGCCTGCCTTGCCTGAGGCCATGTCACCTTGCCCCAGCAGTGTCCCAGGGATGTGAGAACTGAGACGCTGAGCCCTGGGGAGGTGAGCATCTCAGGCTGACACCACTGCAGACAGCACACCACAGAGGCCCGGTAGAGACTCTTGTAGACAGGAATGTGTGAATCTATTAAAATGTCTGAGGACCTCCTGTCCTCTGTGAAAAGGCGACATCAATGACATTTTCCTGCTGACATGCTTCTGCCCACTAGCATCCCTCCCAGCATGTCCTCATTTGTCACCTCCTAACTTGAGTTCTGGGGCAAATCTGGAAACTTATTTGGGACGGACCACCGGCTTCTTGGACATCTGTTCCCTCCAAACCACCTGCGAGGCTAGTCCGCAAGGCAGAGGGGCTTCCTGTAGCGGAGCGGCAATCTGTCCCCTTCAACTTCTTCTCTGCTTCCTTGCAGCTCACCTTGCAGAGCGCCAAGTCCCGAGTGGCCTTCTTTGAAGAGCTCTAGCAGGTGACTCAGCCACCCCAGGATCTACCACTTCTGCTGCTCCTGGCTCTGGCAGGATGGGTCAGACACCGTGGGAGCCATCTTAGGCGGACTGGCTGGGAGCTTTCGTGGGAGCTCTGGAACTCTCCCCCCTGAGTGGAGAGCCCAACCCCCTTCATGTGCAATTGCCTTGAACTGTGACCCTGCAGAGATTTCTCTCATGGGGTTCTAGTTCTCCTGACCTAAGTCTTTAAATTTCTTCAGAAGTATTTGTCTTTCCTTGTCTAATGTGTGACCCCATACTTCCTTCGTCAAAGGCACCCTGGCGGGGGGGGGGGTTGTCTTACTGTCCAGTGCTGACCCCCCAGCCCAGGCTGGGAAGCAGTTGTACGGAGTGAAGTGCACAGGCCTCTGGAGGCCAGGAGGCTGGTGCCACCACCCAGAGTGGCAAACCAGAGTCCAAGGGTCAGGTGGGAGCCACTGGCCCTTTTCACCCCCCTTCATCCTTAGCCTCTCCTGCTGTGTTGGGCTGGGGGACCCCCTTGACATGCTTTAGTCAGCACCTGGTAGCTCAGTCATGACTGGGGGCCTCTGTAGGGCTCTGGGGCCCAAACACTGAGCTCCACTGGCCCCAGCCTGCCTTGCTGATATGAATCACCTTTCTCCTGGCCGGCTGCCAGCAAGCCCCTCCTGACCCATTGTACCTGGGCCCCCTTTTGAGGCTGCCCTCATTCCCCAGAGGACCCTTCATTTTCTATTCCCTTGTGGGCCATATGGGGTCCCTTTGTGCCCCTCCCAGTGTGAGCCGGCACACAACTACCCACCCACCCGTGCCTGCAGCAGGCCATAGACCACCCTGTGGCCCACGCTGCCGCCACTTTCCTGCTCTTTCTTTTCTCCGGGGCTTGGTAGCCCTGCTGTGACTCACTGGGCCATTCAGATCCTTCCAATGGGGCTGTTATGCAGAGCAGGTGATAAGCCTTAACCAGTAAAAAGGCATTTATTCAGTGAAGCCGTGTGAGGGCCTAGAGATATTCTGAGAGCACAGTGGCCTCCGACAATCCATTGTGATTTGAGAAGCTGAGCAGCTCACAGAGAGCCTGCCTGTTTTCTACTTTCAGGCTGACCTAACGGTGTCCCTAGCTGGCTGCCATTTTCTTGGGCCACCTTGCCCCAAGGAAGCCAACCCTGTGTGTCACCCCGCCCCTTAGGACACACAGGGTGGGATTTTGCATCTGGACACTAAGTGTGGATGGCACAGAGTTCTCCCTGTCCCTCAAAAGGTCTCTTCTCCGGAGACATGGGGGGAGTCCTCTCACTTTTGTAATGTAGGGTCTGGTTTTTGTGTTGAGGCTCTGTCTCCTCAGGTGCACCACCCATCCCTGAATTTCCAGGAGAGTTACTTTCCTCCTGACCTGTAAATTTAATCCTTCACAGTTGCTGTGGGCATAGGAGCATGGTGGTGGTTTATAAAAACATTGTCCAGCTTTTTAATATTATTATTTAACTGCCGTGTGTATGTCTGAAGTTTGGGAAATGCCAAGCTCTGTGGCCATAAGGGAGCTGGACTGTGCCAGAGCTGCGGCAGGAGCCCCCTTGGGCCTGGGGAGCAGCCTCGGGAGGCCAGCAGAGCCCTGCTCAGCCAGGAACAGCTGGGTTCTCGGCAGGTGGGGGCTGGTGGGCACCTCCGAAGATGGATGGGCGGAGAGGGTGGCGGCCCTCAGAAAGGTCTTGAGCCCCAGTAGAAGGAGAAAGATTGAAAGAGGAGCTTGGTTTTTCAGAAATGTGTGCCTGTGTTTTTTAAAGTGAACATTTTTAGGGCTGGGAGTTTATCAAATAAGGAAGCCTCTCACCTCCGCTGAGAGCACGGCTCTGGCCATGATTATTTCATTACGAGCACTTGTGAGGGTTCTTGGGCATACTCACCATTCATGAAGTCACTAACCAGCTGTGACCTGCCGTGAGGCTGCACTGTCAACCCTTAGCTCTTCCACTCAGACCACCTCGAGGGTTCGTTCATCCTGATTGAGGCCTCGCCTCAGTCACAGCCACGCTCTGACCTGTGCTATTGACTCAATTATTCATGTACCCACCAGGCCCCACTAGACAACACCCTGTGGCATTACATAACGCTTCTTAAGTGACTGTGTTTTGTGATCTTGGGTGCAGGTTTCTCTCTCTCTCTTTCAAGTCAAAACAGCAAGTCCAGAGGCTGACAACCGTGGACAGTGACGAAGTGTTGCTTGCTGACAGTGCCGGAGCTTCATAGCCCCTAGAGAGGGTGACCTTGGCAGGGAGGCAGCCCTGGGGCCAGGCTGTGGGCTTCCAGGGAGGCTCCATCCCTTTTCAAAGACATCAAGCCCCACTTCCTGTGGGGCCTGAGTTTCGACACCTGTCAGGGCCAGACCCTGGGAGACTATTTTCTGTTTTGGGGGATTGTTGTAATTTAAATGATTGTTTTAATAAAAATTCTAAGCTGTAAAAAGTTCATCGTGGGCTTTCACAATTTGCCTGTTGCTCAGGCCCGCTGAGGTGGCAAGACCATTGGGCTTGGTGACAGGACCACCTCTTGGGTACTGAGTCAGCACCTCTGTCCTCCCTGCCTCCCCAGGACTTCAACTTCAGCCCCATGTCTTTGTGGTAAAAGGATCACCTTTCCTGGGCTGATGACAGCACCTCTTCCTATACCTTCACCTGGGCACTCCCTTCCCTCTTCCTGTGGGGCACTCAGAGCCTGGACCTGGTCCTGGTGCCTGTTTCCTTTCCACACCCACTACCTGTCCTCAGTTCCACACCTGAAAACTAGGGTACTGCTCCTGGGTTTCCCCTTCTGGGCTCTGGAGGAGGGGATTGGGGGCATGCAGAGCCACTGGGGCTCTGGGCACTGTCTGCTGGACAGATGAGGCCCAGCTATTGTCATAGGACCACACAAATTACAAATCCTAAAATCAGAGATTCGGGCGGCACATGTGTTATCAGGACTGCTAAGGAACCACGGTTCTGCCTGCCACACGGCAGAATGCATTTCAGGTCTCCATTGTACCAGCCCATAAGGAAAAGAACCCATCAGAATACACAAAAATTTCCAAGAATTTAAGTTAAATATAGTTTGTATATATTTGGAAAGATATGTTTGAAGCTGTAAAATAAGAAAATTGTAAAATTGGTGAACAATATTTCATAATTTTAAATTTATAGAACTAGTAACTAATTAGAACACTTATTCGATAAATAATAATATGAAACTGCTTCATTTCTTAAATATAGACTATGTTGTTTTCAGTGATCAGAAATAGTTTGATTTCCTATGTAGTGTGAGTCAGAAAATACTTCATAAATACTGCTCATTTGAAGCTATCCAGACAATACTTTTAAAGCCAACCCCCGACCCCCAGATGTTGGTAATATGCTCCCACAGGTCCTGCAGTCCCCATTAAGTGAAGTTAGAATTAATAATACTGCCTGGCGTCTTGGTATGGGGGAGACTGGTCTCGGTCGCCTCTGCTTTTCTCTAGTGTCCTTTGACCATGCTGTAAGCCTAAAGGTGCTGGGTGGCCCTCAGTGCTTAGCTGTGTGTTTGCGACCTGGTCCCGTGGATCCCTGAGCA